AGCTAACAGTGGACAGCATGATGATAGACTCAGCCCCCTGAAACCTGACCCCTTGCCTCATTTGAATAGCTTCTCCTCTATAAAAGGGGTCAGTACAGGCTCTCACTCTCTCCCTGCAGACCCTTAAGGTCAGAGGAGCCGTCACAGCGACCCCAAAGAGAAAGGTATTTGTGTCTCTTGTGTGGTTATTTTGTGCAGCCCAATTAGCCTGAAACTTTTAGTCACACAAAAACCCAGCAATTATGGTCACAAAATGCCTTTTGTATGATTTTAACTCATTAAAATCTGTTACGGTTTGTTTTATGGCCCAGCATATGGCCTATTGCTATGAATATTCCATGTACACTTGAGAATAATATGTATGCTTCTATTCTAAGGTGGACGTTCTATAAATACCAGTTAAACCAAATTGGTTTTAGTGGTTGCAGGTCTCTGATGTCTTCTCAGATTTTCCATTTGTTCTATTGTTTACTGAGAGGAAAGAGTTGATGTTTCCATGTGTATTGTGGATTTGCCTATTTCACCTTTCTCTTCTATGTTTCTGCTTCATTATTTGACCCTCAGTTTTGTAATAAGGTCCAATACATCTAGAGTCATTTTGTCTTTTTGATGAATTTCACCTTTTGTCCTCATGTAAAATCCCTTTAATCCCTAGTAATCTTTCTTGTTCTAAAGTCTACTTTGTCTAAAGTTAATATAATTACCTTATCTTTCTTTGATTAGTGTTTCTTGATCTTTTCTTTCATATAATGTTTATATACACTACAATACATTGAGTGGATTTCACATAATGGCATACCGTTGTGTCTTCTATTTCAATTCAATCTGAAAACCTCTATCCTTAATTATTATATCTAGACCACTTACATTTAGTGTGATTATTGACCTATCGGATTTAGGTCTATCATTTTGTTATTTGTTTTCTCTGTTCACCCTTTCTGTGCCTTCCTTTAGAATGTCTGACAATATTATAGTATCCTATTTTAATTTATTTTTTTTTACTTTTTAGCTCCTTGTATATTTTGGTGGTGGTGGTGTGGTTCCTTAAGGGATTATTATAATGACTTTTATAATCCATTTGGATTTAATATTTTATCACTTAAAAAAACTGAGATGCCTGGCCACCAAATAGGTTTCATGGTCTCCTTCATTTTCTTTATGTACAGGCTATCATATTTATTACAACTACATACATTGAAAATCCCATAATATTGTGTTACAAGTTTTGCTTTTAACACTCATATATTTTAAAGATTTTAAAAAGAGAAAGTAGTCTATTATATCTACTCAGTTATTTGCCATGTCTGTTATTCTTTATTTCTGAAGTTCCAAGTTTCTCTCTGATATCATTTCCCTTTACCCTGAAGATATTTCTTTAGCATGTCTCTTAGAACACACATGTGGCAACAGATTCTCTTACAATTCATTTACCTGAAAATGATTTTATTTATCCTGAATTCTTGAAGGATATTTTTACTGAAAAATCATGCTATCTTCAAAGCAGCACTGAGCAGGGCGGGATATGAAAATTCATTTAGTCTAATCCCTTAGCTAAAAAATTGAAAAACTGCCAATTGGATGAATATAAAAATGAACTTCATTTTTCCTTAAGTGACTCAATGTTGCTTCTTAAGGGACTAGTCAACTTAAGGAGGACAGCACTATATTTTCCATTCTGATAAGCTTGGGCTAATCTGATAATTTGTCAGTCAGATTCAGAATTTATTACCATTAGTCATGTTTGAGATTTATGTTCAATGCGAGGGAGGGATTTTTATATTCAATGGAAAATGTGTGACCTGTTCTCTGTGCCTCCACTCTACCCTCAGTCAGGGCACTCATATGCAAGGTGATGCTTTGGGCATGATCCAGAGAAAGCAATCCCCTTCTCAGCGGTGGCTTCTTTTTCCTTCTGTGGCTGGAATGATTAAACTCTGAGTTTGGCAGTTTGGTTTCTCACCCAACCAGTCAGATGCTGGCTCTGTCCTGTAGCACACTAATGGTCTATTATGCTCATCTGGGCATTTCAACCATGCATAATTCTAGTGTCAGCATCCTAAAGGGTGAAAACAAGCAGATACAAGTTCACAGTTATAGTCTAGAAGCAAATCTCAAATCCAAGGGGAAACAGTAAGGGGAGATCTTGACCCACCTCTCACCTGTGTTAGTCAGTTTTCCACCACTATAACAAATATCTGAGATAATCAATTTACAAAGAGAAAAGATTTATTTTACCTCAGGATTTAAGGGATATCAGTCCATGATTGGTCAGTCCTGTTGCTCTGGGCCTGAGAAAGCACATCATGGTGCCAGCATGGTACTGGCTCATCTCATGGCTAGCATTAAAATAAATAAATAAATAAATAAGAAAGAGAAAGAGGACCAGCATATCACAATCCTCTTCAGGGCACACCCTTAATGACCTAAAGACTACCCACTTCTTAAAGGTTCTACCACTTCCCTTGTTCCAGGGCACAAGACTTCAATACATGGGCCTTTGGAAGACATTCAAGATACAAACCACAACACCACCTGCTATGTTTTTGACCACTCAGCAGATATATGAAAAGTGGGTGTTTGTTGGTCTCCACATTCAGAAACAGATGTTCCCAACCTTTCCAGAAGTAACACCTTCCCTTTGTTGGGAGACCTTCTGGGGAGGATAAAGTTTAAATCCCTTGAAAACTCTCTTTTTACCTCTATCATACTCACAGCCCAGCTCCTGATGGAAAAGTCTAGTGGGGCAGAGGGAAAGTATTTATTTTAACTAAAAATAAATATATTCCCTTTTGTCCTTGTTTCTGAATTTTCTCCACTATAAGTCAGCACTTCCCATGTAATCAGCAGGTAAAGAATAAGGAAACAACAGTCTATAAAAAAAAGTTATGATGTGATATTCAACACTAGAATTCAGGATTTGAGCCTTTTTCTCTCTCCTATATTCTAGACCTTAGAGGCTGTGGATTTACAATTTAACACTACCTACAGGTTTTACTTATCTACATCCTCCACATCTCTATCTCCTCTATCCTTTCTCCAAATTAATGGTGTAATTATCTGCCCAATTTCACTCAATTCAGAAAAGAGAAATTACCAAGGGTACCTCCCTCACTCTTATCAACTATATTCTATCAGTCATTAAAATCCTGTAAATTTCACCTCAGCAACATTATCTCTGTCATAAGCCTTCCCTCTGTCCTTCTATTGTCTTATTTCCAAGTTTCATCACCTTTTGCTGGAATGATTACAATACCCAGTCCGTGAGTCAAAGGAACCTCTCCCCACACACAGTGCCACTGAGCTATCTTCCCAATAATGGGACCAGCTTCTTTCCCTACTTCAAAATATTTCATGCCAGTGGTAACAGCCTCATACTTTAAAAAGGAAAATAGGAAATCAGAAATTTTTCTTCCCTTACAAAGAGAATAGCAATTTTGAAGGAATCCTGAGTCATAGACTTCAAGATTCTATTTATTCAGACATTGTGTTGTAAATTCCTCCTATTTGCTGATAACAGAAGCTCTAGGAAAAGGAATATCACTAAAGGAGCTAAACAGAGATCCTAGTTGCTAACTAATCAAATCCGGTTAAGATCTAAAGTAAGATTAAATTGCTCATGCTGAATCTGTTCAGTACCTTCAGTGACAGATTTCTTTAGTGTTTGCCTGCCATTTTCCAGTAACAGATAAGAACTCTGTTATTGTCTAATTGTTTTATTAGCCACATTAAAAAAAAAAAAAGCAAAACTTTATGTTTGTCAGTAATACAGGGTTGGGAGATGATCATAAATCACAATTAGCAATTGCTTAGTAGGTAATAAAATTTCTTGTTGTTAATGACCTTATCAATAGTATCATCCCTCTAGTGCTTTACCCTGCCTTTTCTTCATAGTACTTATCACCAGCTTAAAGTGTTGTATTTGTCTATTTTGTCTTCACCAGAAACTGAATGCCTTAAAGGCAAAGGCTTTGTTTCACCAAACTGGGGTACCCAATGCATTTTAATCAGTTGTACACATCTATAGCCCAGAGCCTGGTTCAAAGCAAGCTTCCAGTAAATATTTATTTAAGGTTAAGAGAAAGTAAATAATAAAAAAGGAAGGGGGACTTCCCCTAGAAACGAGGAATGGCTTTTACATAATGAATTACTCTCAATGAAAGCATCTTAATAGTCATCGGAAAAACCCTGGAAGGAGGAACAGTCACTTGTATATGCCCTATTACACAGGTACAGACTGAAACTTTAAGTCCTGTCTCAAAGCAATTTAAAACAAGACAAAAAACTTCGAGACTCAACAATCTTAACTCTTTAGGTCAGACCCAAGAAATGGTCTGGCTCCTGTCAGAAATTACCACATTTGGCATGATTATTTCTCTCACAATAAAAGCACAAGAGGCGGCATTAGGATAGAACAGAGTGAATGAATCATTTTCGACTGTAACATTACACTCGGTTTTTTAAATATTTGTATCAGCTACGAGGATAAAGGTTGGAACAAAATAGAGAGCACCACTACCAAGAGCAAATATGGCCGAGAGAGGTTCCCAGCCCGCACCCAAAATGGACGCTGACTGTGACGTTTCCAACCACAATCCTCCACTGGTCCCGCCCCACCAACCGGAACCCCGGCTCCCCACTATGCCCACCCTTCCTTCGTAGGCTTTCTCATGATTGGTTGTTTGTACTATTTACATCTTCTCCGGATGTGGCGTCACTCAGTGAGCCTCGGAGACTGCGCGCGCACAGGCAGTAGGGAGCGGGTGGAAGGCGAGGAGGTGGGGTGTGCACGTTTCGCAGGCCCGGAAGGGGAACTGCGTGGAGGAGGTGACCGGGAACTGAGGTACTTCTCCTTCGAACCGACTTGAGACCCTCTCAACACTCTTTAAAGCCCGCTTTATGGGGCGTCTGGGGGGAGTGGGGGCTGGAGGCGGCGGCTCCATTGGCTGTCACAGCTAGGCTGCGGGTCAGAGTCGCCGTCCTGTGGGTGACCCCCATGAATGAGCGGCAGCCTTGGGGTCCCCGACCAGCGGACAAAAGCCTCCCTTGCTGGTTGCTGCCGCTTGGCAACAAGGTGCTGAGTCATCCAGCCTCCGAGCCTCACTGCCGCGGCCTTGGCAGATAACGGAGCGACCCACACGGGGGCGGGGTGTCGTAGAGTGTGCGCTCACTTTGGAAGGTCGGAGGCTTTCCGTCGGGTTAGCAGCGGAATCTAGTGTACTGGATGGAAGACCGGGCGCTGGAGCTCATGCCTTATGTAAGGGGCGGTGGTGTTTTATACAAAATTAGCTAAGGTATTTGTTTAAGAGGTCTAATACCTGTTCAAGGTCACTTTTAACCTGTGGTAGAAGCGGGATTCCCACTCTGGGTGTTACAGGACACCGAAGCCATCCTGCCCCAGTCAGTGGGCTGAGGAAGGTAAGGGTTGAGATGATGTAATGGCATGCAAGTACCAGAAGGTCTTGGTATTTTCCCAAAGGACAGATGTCCAGTGTTGTACACCATTCATAGGTCCAGTGGCAGTGATGGAGACATTCATCTGTTCTAAAGCAAGAGTTTTTAGCTTTGGGGGGCGGGGGCTAGTTAAAACATATTACTAGTTCATTTCTAGAAGTAGACCCTCTAGAAGCAATGTAATACCCAGGAGTCTACATTTTAAGATGCATCTTGACAGTTTCAAAGCGTGTAGTCCCAGGATCAGCTATGTGGTCTGAACACTGTTTTGGTCACGTTTTCTTACGTTGAAGATTCAGAAAATGAGACACAGAAGGATGGTCACTTGCCTCAGATTCACTACAGATCATTGGCAAAAAATGGGCTAGTAGCCCAAGTTGGCTTACACTTCTCAGTTGCATTCTTACCTGTCTGTCATAATCATCTTAGCATTGCAGAAAGACATTTACCTGACTTCTTATTGAACACTTCTCTGGTGTAATCTCCCTCAGAGCTAAGACAATCAAAATTTTAGCATGCTTTTCTTTGAAATCACCATTGTAACATGAGGAAAACCTGAGTAACTGAGTTTGCTTTTAAAGATTAATTGCCCTTATTGTGGTTGTAGAAAGGCATAAGTAATAAAGTCAAAATTACATATTTTAAAAGTTATCACAGACTTTAATCATGTTAAAAATAGTAACATCCATTTTGACTTACACATAACTTCTCAGAGTCATACATCCTATTATTGGTCAAATTGGAATTAAAATCTAATTTAGTGGTCCATCCCAAACTGGGTTCTATGGGATAGGTTTCTTAAATTAGAAGAGACAGGCAGAGGCCTCCTCATTGAAAATTAGAGAAGTTGCTTTATTCCATTTTTTTTGCCCTACTAAAAGATAAGTTATTCCTTCTATGCTCTTTCTCTTCCATGTCCTTACTTTAATTAATGGATTTTGTTTGGGGTTTTCTGTTTTTTGTTTGTCTTTATAACTAGCGGTTAGATCTGCTTGGTAAACCTGGTGTGTCACCATGCTGGCTGCAAGGTTTGTGTGTCTCCGGACACTACCTTCCAGGGTTTTCCATCCAGCTTTCACCAAGGCCTCCCCTGTTGTGAAGAATTCCATCACTAAGAATCAATGGCTCTTAACACCCAGCAGGGTAAGGATAATTTGAATGTTTTCCTATTGTCTTTTTCTGTCTTTTTAGTGTTTGGCTTCTCTTGATGTCCTGAGATTGGTTTGGGTTGGTTTGTTTGGGGAGATTTTTTGCTGCTTTTAATGATTTACAGGTAACGATTTACTAAAAATAATTAATAGTAATAGCCAGCAGGTGGTGCACTCCTGTAATTCCAGCAACTGGAGAGGCTGTGGTAGGAGGATCATAAATTTGAGGCCGGCCTAGCAACTTGGCAAGGCCCTGTTTCAAAGTGAAAAAGGATGGGGGATGGGGCGGGGGTTTGTAGCTCAATGGTACAGTGCTTGCCTAATATGCACAAGGCCCTGGTTTTAATCTCCACGTGGCGGAAAAAAAAAAAAAAGGACTGAGGATGTAATCAGTAACAGAGTGCCCTTGGGTTCATTCCCTATTACCAAACAAAAGCAAATACAAAAACAGTAATGTATCTAATTAGATGGTTTTCCCCATCAATTTTCTTTCATCCTGGTTCTTTTTTATTATGTATGAAAAAGGGCTCCTATAGCTTTTCTTTGATTTACATCTCTTGGGGTTTCTCACTCAGAAAATTGAGAGTAAATAGTAAGGGATCAGTAATTACATGGTAGGTGCAACAAGGAAATTTTGAGTGGTGCCTATAACCAAATGCTTAAGAACCCGGAGATATTTTCATAGAGCCAATGTTATCTTCTTTTTTTTTTATTGTAGATGGACAGAATGCTTTTGTTTGTTTATTTTTATGTGGTGCTAAGGATCCAACACAGGGCCTCACACATGCTAGGCAAGCTCTCTGCCACTGAGCTACAGCCTCTGCCCTCCAGTGAGCCAATGTCTTATTAATAAATTAGTAAAGATACTATTTTAGCTCTTATTCAGAGACTGATGAAATCTCTCAGGTTAGAGAGAACCCCATTTTCTTTTACAACAGAGTTCTCCCCTAGTAATCAAGTGAGTAGGAGTGTAAGTTTTGAACTGTGAGATAATTAAGGAGAATACACAGTAGCTAGAAAGTCAATTTTTCCATCTTGGACTAACTGTTCCAGCATTGCAAAAGAGCCAAAACAAAAGCAGCAGTCATGGCTTCCCTTGACTTCATATTCAGGAGAAAGACTTTTTTTTCCTTGAACCGATTTTTCAGATAACAGAATATGGCTAATGATTTATTTGTATTTTTAAAAATACTACTAGATTCTCATCTTGAGATTTATAATAGTTCTGGGTATATAAATAAAATATGTAATTTATGAAAGGAAATAATTCTGAAACTCAAACCAAGAAGTGTATAATAAATTAGTGAATCACCATGAAGAGGAAGCACAGTTTGCTCCATGTTTAATTTGGTTGAATATTATTGACATTACATTATAGAGAGTATCAAATTTCTTTTAACTATAGAGTTTTTAGTGTAAAGAGAGCCTCTATTTTATTATTAAACATACTGTTTGGGTATGGATAATATATCTTTGTATATATATATCAGGAGTATGCCACCAGGACAAGAACTGGGATCCGCCGTGGGAAAACTGGCCAAGAACTCAAAGACGCTGCAATGGAACCATCAGCGGAAAAAATATTTAAAAGTAGGTGGTAGTTTTTAGTTTTTAACCTGAAGTATATGATGTTTTAAGAAGTCCACGAATAGCTTCCTAAAAATATCTACAAACCTGTATATATGTGCATTTTCTGAAAGAAAGGTCATATTTCTGTCAAGGATCTAATGATCCAAAACTCATTAGTACCTTGCATTGGATTCAGTGGTTCCAGGTTACATGTATTTCTTCCAGGAAAAGTTTTACTTCTACTTTTTTTTTTTTTTTTTAGGAAGAAATATAAAAGATTATTAATATGCCATAATTTTAAAAGGTATAGTCTGTTAAGGAAGTTCATTTAACATATAGAATCTTCATTTGAGCATATAATGTTAAGAATATGGCCCCAAAACATACATATTCGGAAAAGCCTAGCTATCTAAGAAGGGACCTCAAACTGCCCATTTGGGACCTTTCAGAAATGAATTACCTTAAATAAAGTCACTTCAGTTCACAGTTTGGATTTCAGCTTTGCTAATTCCATAACTAGATTGTTAATCTTCCCAGTGCTAAATAGTCTTATAAAACAGCAGTGTATTACAATGGGAAAAAGCCCTAGTCAATTACTAGGCTGATCCTAGAGAACAAATCATAATTCTATAGCAACAGCATAGTAACGTTCTTAGTAAACAAATTTAAATCAAAGGGAAAGATACTCTTTATGACATCTTTGTCCATTGAGATAGAGTTGACAAGTTAATTGTTGATACTCTAAACAAGAGCATCCTCTCCCTTGACTGTACTGCATAAACACTGATTACATTTTTTTTTCTTCTTCTTTGGTTCTCTTTCTAGATGCCATGTAAGCTTTATCTTTGCTAATACTACTTTAGGACACAGTATAGATGATTATTTATAAATATTTTCTTTTTATCTTTTACTGTCTAAAAATTCCATGAGAACATACCCCCCCCCAACTCCTTTTAATAAAGTATTTCACAGATTGAAGGCTAATAAAATCTGCCCCCTCCCATTTCTAAATAGGAAAATGCTTTTTCCCATTTCTAAATATGTTGGCCTCAATTTCAAGTTCTCCTGCCTCAACCTCCCAAGTAGCTAGGATTGCAGATGTGAGCTATAGCACCTATCTCATCCCCCCCCCCCCCCCCCTTTTTTTTTTTTTTTTTTTTAGTGATTATTACACCTTTGTTTCACGGTGTTCTTCAGTATGGTCTCCTGACCTTGAGAACATTTCTATATGTCCACACAAGATAATTCTAGCTATTATGAAGAAATACAGTATATCATTGATGCCCCCCTAATAAATGTCAAGAAGGCTTTACCTCCAGCACTTTAGTGTAGTTGAGACATGACAGTATTAACTTATATTTTCTCCTGTGTTCTGCAGTTGATCAGATGGGAAGGTGGTTTGTTGCTGGAGGAGCTGCTGTTGGTCTTGGAGCATTGTGCTACTATGGCTTGGGAATGTCTAATGAGATTGGAGCTATTGAAAAGGCTGTGTGAGTAAATTTGTTCCCAGATGATCCCAGAAACCTTCCATAAAGATTCCAATTCTCATTCTTTAATCTTTAACCTTTAGTCACTAGTGGAATGTTTTGTATCCAGTCTTCATCTATGTATATACATGAATAAAAATAGAATCACTTTTTGCTTTTTTGGCCTATATGTATTCAAATCCAAGTAAACATCTTTTACCAAGGCTATACATGTTTAAGCAAAGAGAAAATATGTTGCTTTTTAGGTGTGCCAAAAGTTTATGTTTTATATTTTTTAATCTTTATAGTAACTTCAAGTTATACATAATTACTTTCCATGATAAGTGAAGTGAATACAATTGAGAATATTAAAGTGATTTATCCTAATGTCACTGAGCCAGTGAATGATTCAACCAGAATTCATATCCCTAACTAACTATGTCATGTTTCTTACAGAATTTGGCCTCAGTATGTGAAGGATAGAATTCATTCTACCTATATGTACTTAGCAGGAAGTATTGGTTTAACTACTTTGTCTGCCTTGGCAGTGTCTAGAACGCCTGCTCTTATGAACTTCATGATGAGAGGCTCTTGGGTGGTAAGTCAGCTTTTATTTTTCTTGTGAGTGTAAAGATCAAAAGATTAGATGAATTATACTGGGGAGTATAATTCATGGAAGTATACAGTTTTAGGAAAGTTGTAGTTCAAATGATTATATGACTCTTTAGTACAGCTGAGATTAATAAGGAAGTACATTCTTAGCTGCTATTCTTTGTTGAGTATAAAGCATTCTGTGCTATTAAGAGTAGGATAGTGCTGCCACTGTTATTCCTAAGCTTCTTGGCCTTATGTAAGATTTTATGTTCATTGAATATTTCTTGAACGCTTGGATTTTTATACACACCAAAATAAGATTTCAGATGGGGGCCTCTTCACACTATTTAGTATAAGCTGAACTGGACTCCATGGTATGGGATATGTAATAAAAAGTAGAAAGCACAAAAGTTAATAGAAAGACTGTATCTATCTTGGACTCTTAGAGCAGTTCTGTGAGACATTTCATCAGAGCTATTGAAAGTTAACATATTTATTTGATTTTTAGAAAAAGGTTAAGTGTAATCCAGCTTTACCAAACAACTTGAATAAAGAAGAGATAGGAAAATCTAATTTGAAAAGGGGCTTACAATCCCAGTAAGAGTAAAGTTTCATGTGTTTAAGGTGTGGAGTGTAAAGAAGACATGGTTAGAAAGAGTACGTTTGATTTCTAAGCTAAGGTGATTACCTAAGCCATTGAAGGCCATTCAAGAGACTAAAAAAGCAAAAATATGGTTTGTATTTGAATCTTCAGAATTGATGTGGAAGAGACCTGAAACAGGTATACCAACTTTGCCTTTATAACCTCTGAAACGTAGGATAACAACCTTAACTACAACAGTAAATGAAACTAAGGGAAGAGATGAGAGAGGTTATGTAGTACTTAACCAGTTCCCTCCGTCAGGAACCCAAATCCATCTAACTTTCAGATTTGTGGTAGTTCCATTATATTCTACTTTCTAAGAAGAGAACTATTTATGGTATCATTACCATTTGGACACTTAACATAGTCTAGGATCATGCATATCATGAATCTCTCAGCCTAGAGGTTCATGAATGCACAGTGAACATGGTTAGTCTTACCAGCAATGTCAGTTTGAATCAAAGGTGAATAATTTAAAACAATACTTTTGTAATAAAACACAAAATATTTAAATGTACATAAAATTTTAGGCCTTAAAATAAGACTTAAAGAAGTTTTGAGCTGCAGCTGTACCCTCAACCCTCTTTGGTCAAAAGATTATTCTACTCTGCTTTCAAGGATAATTAAGTAAAATTGTTGGGCAAATCAAACACAGGTGCTACAGTAATGAAGATATAGCCTTTTGGAGATGAGATAAAGTGAGTTTGCCCCAAGTGCTTTGGAATAGAGAGGCATCTGGCACTGCTTTAGGGCAGTCAAAGTGCCTAATAGAAAAAACTCAAGTTCAGAAACTCAGCCTTATAGCAAGGAGGTGTACGTAGGCCCAGTAGACACCAGTGTACCTGGAATGTAGAATGTAGAAAGGTAAAAGGCAAAAAATGAGACTGAATCATGAAGGACCTCTGAAGAAAATAAATGTAATTTTAGTAAAAACCCTGAAAATGTTATGCATGGAGGCAGCATGAAGTTTTTGGTAATTGTCTCTCCATCGGAAAATTTTCTTCATTAATTGGGGTTTTTTGGTCCTCTGAAACAACAGCTGTTCTGCTTACCTGTACTTTATATCGTAGGCTGAAAATTCTGATGCCCTTGGGTTAGACAGACAATACAGATGAATAAGGAGGCCTGGTATGGCCCATGGGATTATAGGCATCCAAAAACATTTAGATTTTAGGAATAGTTGATCAAACAAAGCATATCTGCTGTCTGGTTTTATCCAAAGACGCATGTTTGCAATCTCTGCCTTAAGTTCCTTGAAAATGGACTCACTCTTATTCCTATCACACACGTTTCTTCTTGTCATAACACAACATTTAAATGTTACAACCTTGGAAATCACCTAAGATAGGCAAAGAAAAGGAATGATGACAAATTCAGCCACAAACCTGCAGGTACAGAAATGTGGGGTCTTATATCTCATTGTTTTCCACATGTTATGACATTCACCTTCAGTTTTTCAGACTCTTTTAAAAATTATTTCAAGGAAATGTATATATATATATGTGTGTGTGTGTGTGTGTATAAACAGACATGTATGTTGCATAGTAAATATATGCATTTATAAAGATAGAGACATGTATATTTCACATGCTATTTGTGTTATATTAGAATATATATTTTAATCAAAAATAATTATTCTGTGGTTTTTGAAAGGATTTTGTTAATTGTTAAAAGATGTTGGTGCCAGTCCATTCTCCACTTGTATACTTGAAGCTGCAGAACCTCATATATAGCAGGAGGAGGCATTTCTCCTAACTTAACCAAAACTGAAATAAACCATTGCCTTAATGTGCTGGGAAAATATAGAATGCCATTTATCCTTTATAAAAACTGGTTTATTAGAAGTGCCTAATTGTATTTGAAACTTATGGTGTCAGATATTTATAAACATCTTTATTTTTATTTAAAGATCTGGTGTTTCTTTGTGTGTTTTTTCTTCAATATATTTTAGACAATTGGTGCAACCTTTGCAGCCATGATTGGAGCTGGAATGCTGGTACACTCCATATCATATGAGCAAAGCCCAGGCCCAAAACATCTTGCTTGGTTGCTACATTCTGGTATGTTCTGTTTTTAAATTGTTACCGAACAACCTTGAAAACTGTGCCCTTTTTAAGTGGCTCTTCACAGTTGTAAATGATTGTTGTAAATTTCAACACAACTAACATAAGTTAGTGAAATGGTATATGTAGAAAACAAAATTTTCTGTAGTCATTACTGGTTACATTATTGCTTAACCTTTGCTTTGAAAGGTTGTTTCTGATACTAAGACTTTAAGCCACCCCAGTATTAATTTCCTGTAGCAGTCTAGTATGTGCATAGATTTACCTTTGTGTATCATATCCAGTGTCAGGAGGATTTCAAATCTGATACATATCTTCTGAGATCCCCTTTTGTCTGGTATTTTTAGAAAAAGGGAAAAATTGAAGGTATAGAAAGTTGCTAAAATGTTTGTTGCCAATTACAAAACTGATGGGAATCCTAAGAGAAATGTCACAGGTCGAAATTTTTATCCAGTTATCTTTCCTAGAACAAAAGGTGTTTTTAAATTAGCCATCATCATGAAATCCAGTATGCCTTATTACTTATTCATACCTTATTACTTGATCTAAAAGTGGTGCTCTTGCCCAAGAGACACGCTAGTTTTGAAAATTCAGCATGAAGATAGGTAGCACTTGCCTGTTCTATGTAAGATAAACTACATTTAACAAAAGGGTAACTTCTACTCAGCACTTGACTAATGCCTTATCCAGGACTTTTTTTCTCAATTAACGAATTACATTTGCATCACCTTTGTTCTTTAAATTAATAATGCTTTCCACTATAATTTTTATGAAGATGTTTATAAATATCTGACATCTAAAATAATTTTTATAAGCTGTGATAGCATTCTCTAGTACACAAATAATAACACTGTCCTGTAAGTTCCTGTATTTTCCACTTTCCATCATAACACTCTTGCTCTTATTTTACTGTATTCCCTTTTGGCAGCACTAGTTTTCATTTTTGTTTTAAGCCTTTTTACTTTAATTCTTGAATCTATAATTTTGTAAAAAACTGATAGTGGGTTTAGATCCAAATAGTGAGCTACTTGGAATTTTTATAAAGTTAGGTTAATGTTTGTTATAGGTTGTCACTGACTAGGAAATAATGTTAATGTAATAATAGAATTTGGATAGCCACAGGTGTGGGTTGTGGAATTTGGAGGGTAGTATTATCTAAAGGGAAAGCTTTTTATAATATTGCTTAAAACAAAGGCACAATATTTTAAGATAGTACATTCAATATGGCATTTGTTCTTTGGTGGTTATTTAGTAAATACTTAACAAAAACTTGCTCTTCCTCCAGGTGTGATGGGTGCAGTAGTAGCTCCTCTGACAATATTAGGGGGACCTCTCCTTATTAGAGCTGCATGGTACACAGCTGGCATTGTGGGAGGCCTCTCCACTGTGGCCATGTGTGCCCCCAGTGAGAAGTTTCTGAACATGGGAGCACCCCTGGGAGTAGGCCTGGGTCTCGTCTTTGTTTCCTCACTGGGTAAGCTGCTATGCTTATCATTTTTAGTACTTGTTTCTTATGTCCTGAAATACGAAACACTCAAATATTATAATTAAGAGTCATTCTTTAAAAGTTGTTTTAAAAGTTTATGCTAATTTGGTTGGGTTTCATTGATGTAAAAAAAAAATCTTATTGATTTTATAAGATAAAATCTAAAATGATTTAGAGAACATGAAAATTGCTCTGATACAGGAATCTTCCTATGATATGGGCAGGAGACCCATTGGAGAAATGAATGCCATGGATTTTTGAACAAGTATAAGTAACATTAGAACATATACTCACTTGTCTTATTGTTCAGTATACCAAAGATATTTGAGTAATTAAATTATTAGTCCAGTTATAATAAATTCCTTTTTTAACAAGTCTTAATTTATTTTATTAATTAATTAATTTATTTATTTATCTTTAAATTTTGGTTTCAGGGTCTATGTTTCTTCCACCTACCACTGTGGCTGGTGCCACTCTGTACTCAGTGGCCATGTATGGTGGATTAGTTCTTTTCAGCATGTTCCTTCTGTATGATACTCAAAAAGTAATCAAGCGTGCAGAACTAGTACCAGCATATGGATTTCAAAAATATGATCCCATCAATTCGTAAGTAGTCTTTACCATTGTTACTGTTATGGTGTTTTGGGGTTTTTTTGGTCTCTTTTGTTTATGGCTTTGTTAGTTTCTTAGAGTAGTACCATAACGAAATATCACAAGCTGATAACTTAAACAACAAAAATTTATTCTCTTACAGTTCCAGAGGCCAGAAGTATGAAATTAAGGTTGGTACCTTTTGAGGCCTCTAAGGGAGAATCTGTTCCATGCCTCTCTTAGCTTTTTGTTACACTGGCAACCGTTGGCATTTCTTGACTTTTGTAGATACATCACTCCAATCACTGAACTTGACTGGCATTCTCCCTAAATGTCTCTCATTGTCTCTTCTTAAAAGACAACCAGTCATATTTAGAGTAAAGGCCCATCCTACTCCAGTATGGTCTCATCATAACTTATATCTTGGTTACATCTTCAAAGACCATATTTCCAAAAAAGGTCATGTTCGCAGGTACCAGGATTGGGCTTCAACATATGTTTTGACGAAACACAGTTCAGCCAACATCAATGACTTTATCAAATTTTACCATTTTATTTCTGTTGCAGTTTTATCTCCTGTCTCTTAATAAACTGTGTGTGTATCCAAAAAACTAATCATTTTGCAACTAAGTGTAATATCTATATACTCGTCCAATTCAAAGTATTTTACCTGTTTTTGTTAATTAGGCTTAGGGTGCAACAATGAGCTCTTCATCAGTTTTTTGGATAGTATATATTTGACAGACTTTAGAACTAAAGAAAAGGTAAATATTAATCACATATTTTTGGAAAATACATAATCGACTTGGAATTTTTAAAGGGTGAGTATCATTCTAAAAATTAGATATTCTTCATCATACAGGTTGTATTTTGAAGATATTGAACTTTTGTTGACATTTAGTATTATATATTCTCTTTTTCCCCCTTTGGATTCTACCAAACTAGTTTATTTTATTTTAAAAAAATTTCTAGAATTTCATGAAGTCTGTCACATTCTTAAAGTAATTTGTTTTTCTGTATCTAAAAATAAAACTTAATGTAGTGGTTTAAAAATTGTTGCTGTAAAGCTTACAGATTGGAGCAGTTTTCCTTAGGGGATTAGGGTAGGTGTGTTATATTTTAAAATGCTAGACTTGTGTCTAGCAAGTTTTTAAAATAAAGGTGTTTTTTTGGTTTTGTCTTGATTATTTCATTGTCTGTCACCCAGCGTATTTTGCAGTAAGCTGTACTCCTAGCAGATGGTCAGAGAATAGACTAACGGTTTTAAAAACTGCCTATAATATTTTAAAAGATTGGTATATTACAAGGAAACCTTGTATTTCCTAATTTAGGGCTTCTGTTGGCAATTAAACATCATATTTTTAACAAATTTCTATTTCATGTATTTAGAACAGATAATAAATATTGCTTTTTCTTTTACATATTAAAAAAGCTTTAGAATTGCATCATTTATAATGGGCATAATTTTCTTTCCTAGGATGTTGGGAATCTACATGGATACACTAAATATATTTATGCGAGTTACAAGTATGCTAGCATCTGGAGGCAACAGAAAGAAGTGAAGTAACAGCTTCTGGCTTCGCTACTGAATCAGATGTCTTGCTTGTTTAACAGCACATATTTGTCACATAGTTTGTACAAGCAGCTTTCCGTGATGTTTAGAAGTTAGGAACATATGTTGTCAACATGTTTAAAATGTTCCAGTAATGTGATCCTTCAGGTTTGCTTTTTCTTCTAGAGAATAAATTCAATAGTTCTCTTTCAAATAAGCATATACATTTCCAATTTTCATTTTTAAAATACTATAACAAAATATGAAATCTAAGGTTTTTGTGTTATAAGAATTTAAGCTTTTAAGTTTATTGGGTTAAGTTAGCAAACTCATGTTTGCCTGTATATTTGGGGGGGATGCAGAATGTTGAAAATATGGGTTTTGGTATAGAGACCAGAGAGAAGTAAAAGGTCATCTGCAGTCTTTTGTTGAATACTCATATGTCTTAGCTATGTGATCATGGGAAGCCAGTAAGAGTCATCTAGGTATTTGGAACAGTTGCTATTTTCCCATGTGTCTATGAAACAGAGGTGATGAAATCTGCTCTGCTTCTCATTGCTGTCTTTACATTGTGGATATAATGATTGGCTTCTCATTGTTAGGGCAATCCAGAGTGTTAATCATAAGGAGAATTCCTGATAGAATTATGTGAGTTTTACTTTTGAATCTTTTGTTTCAAGATAAAATATTTATTCATAACATGAAACTTGATGCTTTTTTTTTTTAAGTACACAAAAGATGTGTTTATAATTGCTTATCTCTTCAAACTCAGGAGCCTTTTTCAGAAAAGTCTGTTGCTTACACTAGAGATTATGAAAGCAGTTTTCTCATAAAACTGTTGGTTTCTTGCATTCCCTCTGAGACTAATAAGCACTTAACAAGCAAAGCAAAAGTAGTGTTTGTGAAACACATGAATCAGACTTATAGTAGGGAAAGTGCTTCGTTAGTGTCCACTAGCAGTTTTCTTTCTGTCCTGCATAAACCACTACTTAGCTTTTTTTGTGATTATAAGTTTTTTGATACAAGAGTTATTTTTGGAAGTCTTTAATGAATGGAAAGAAATATGTATGATTATTGAGATGATTGCTGTTTTTGAGAAATATTTATTACAGTAATCCAGAAATAACTATTTTAACCATCTCAAAGTATATAGGATGCTTATTTCTGAAATAATAAAGGTTTCAGCCAGATGGTAATTGGTCTGCTTTTTCCAACTAAACCACATGAACACCATTTTAATAGGGATTTATTTGTTCAAAATAGCAACATAGGCGTTTGCTAATAGTACTTGTACCTCGTCTGTCTCTATTTTGCTATTGCAGCTTCTTAACCCTTATTTCTTATGTGACTTGACAAGTTTCTTAACCTTTCTTTGTTTAGTTTTTCTGTTAAATGAAGGTAAAGCCTATCTCACAGAGTTAAGGTTAAATGTGCACAAACTTGGTAAGCATTGTATAATTATTAATTGCTGATGCTGGTTTGTTAGTTTGTTTCCCTAAATAAAAATTATAGATGCCAAATTTCCCTTTCCCCATCCAATATCAATGTAATTTTAAAGTGAAATATCAAAGGGCCTATTGTCTTTAGTCACATTTTAGAACGGAAGTTTACATCCTTATTTTAAAATCCAGATGGTTTAATTTCAACAATGATAGCAGGCAAAAATTGATGTAGAATGTAATGTTGTTTTTTTAATTTAGCGGCTTAGTATTTTATTACAGTACTTTTTGTAACTTTATCAAGACAGTGAAGACTATATAAAATAGAAAAGTGAGTGATATAAAATGTGATTATATATCATAGCTCTAAAATGATAACTAAAAAAAAATCTGGCTTCTTTACTCCTGTTAACATGCAGAGTTCATTTCCCCTCATCCACAGGGAAGAGTATATAGATCTGAAAATTGATAGGCTTTAGGCAGAAAAATAAAATTAGCATTTTACATTTTCAGACATGTCTTTTGAAGTGTTAAAGGATAACTGAGATCTGTGGTTTAAAAGTCACACAAAATATAAAAGCCCTTTTGGTTGCTTGAAGGGTGTCTAATGAGCATTCAGTGGGAAGACATGAGTGTGTAAGAGGGGAGGCTTATGAATAAAGTAACTGCCTTCTGAAGCATAGCAGCCCCACATAAACAGCCACAGTCCCGGCCACTGGATGAGTGTCTTGGCAGTGAGCACTATTAAAAAGACATAAAGATTCAGAGGAAATTTTCACAAGAAAATACAAACAAGCTAGCCACGCCCAATTACCTATACACATGTTGACTAGGCCAGTTTCAGCAGTGCAGAATGCCTCCCAAACAGGAATTTACTGGTGGGCAGTAACCAGGTGGGATTTACTGTTAGAAGACAGCTGGCCCTCCTGACCTTTGGGAACGCAGTGTTGGAGACAGAAACAATGTTAGGTGGGGAATCTCATGCCCTAATAGAACACTGGTAATCTTCACCTGAGTCATCCTTGAGAGATCAACATTTATTATGCACTCTATTAAGTAATAGTAAACCATGGAAAATAGCAACAAATGATTCCATGAATCAAGGCAAAGTCATTGAGAAACTACAAAAGGATTATTTGGAAAATTGCAACAGGACAGAGGAAGAGGCAAATGTGCCAAGAGCCCTTGGGAACATTATGTGTCAATATACAGCACAGAAGGGAAGGGTTGATGCTTGGGAAGGAGAATGGCGGCCAGGCCCTACATGCAGCATGATAGGTCGTGTCCTGACCTACTTCACAGAGAGCTTACCCCCTCTAAAGGACCCTGACTAAATTCTGTTATTAATTGCTGATTCTGGTTTATTAGTTTGTTTCCCTAAATAAAAATTATAGATGCCAAATTTCCCTTTCCCCATCCAGTATCAATGTAATTTTAAAGTGAAATATCAAAGGGCCTATTGTCTTTAGTCACATTTTTAGAACCGAAGTTTTTACATCCTTATTTTAAAATTACCCCTTCCGAAGGACTCTGACTAAATTCTGTTTGTGCTTGAAAATGCCCTCCAAGACTGCTTATACGTAAGCTCGAGTCAATTAGTGTCACCCGCAGAAATCACCTGCCTCATTTAAATAGAGCAGTCTAAACTGGAAAAATTATATTTTTCACTGTGGTAAATTGTCAGGGGAAACTCTGTCTTTGGTTAGAAAATGGAGAGTTGTGTATCTTTTTCAGTATAATATAGCTGCCATTAAGTAAATTTTGTAAAAAGGAAAGTACATATGGAGAGAAAGTAAAAAATCATTAAAACATTATAACATCTCAGATTTGCTGGGCAAGTTAGCACACACCTTCAATACCAGCAGCTCAGGAGGCTGAAGCAGGAGGATTGCAAGTTTAAAGCCAGCCTTGGCAGAAGCAAGACACTAAGCAACTCAGTGAGACCCTGTGTCTAAATAAAGTAAAAGACAAACTAGGGCTGGGGATATGGCTCAGTGGTTGAGTGGCCCTGAGTTCAATCCCTGGTATCCCCACCACCACCACCAAAAGAAAAATTTCAGAGTTGAGCTTATTGAAAGATCCAGGAAAACAAGATGTTGCTCCACTGTAACACTGGACCCAGAGCCTTCAAGGCCCTACCCTTATTCCTCCAGCGGAGTAGAAGTTTGCCAAAAAGCTACACAGTTCAAGCCGCACTACACACATCTACCGCCCCTGCCTGCTGCCCCCACACCTGCTGTGGGGGTGAGAATAGGAAACAAAGCAACACTTCTGGGAAGCCTACTGCCAAATAATACAGCATTAGAACAGTCACTGACAAAAAGGGTCCATTCCAAACCTTGCTATTGTCCAGCCCCAAGTGCTGGCAGAAGCAGAAAACCTTGGCACCCAAGCTCCTGTCTGCACACCCTCCCTTCTGCTGGGCTATTGCAATTGGTGAGCTTGTCCTCTCACCTTTCTCCATCAAATAATTGGATTGGCATCAATTATTCAGACCTGAATTTCAGTGTGTGCGCACACATGTGCCCCACACACTTTTCCTTTTAACTGTGACAAGGAAGTCATTCCCCACCAAAGAAGTATCAGATATCCTTGAGCACAAGTAGGTGGTTGAGTATTTTCTGGAGACAGGTTTTCATTGAAAAAGGGAGTGAGATCCAGCATTTCCACTTCTAGGTATATACTAAAAACTTGAAATCAGTATGTCAAAGAGGTATCTTCATACCTATATTCATTGCAACATTATTCACAAGCTAAATGTGTGTCAGTGGATGAAAGGATAAAGAAATTCACACATACAATGGAATATTACTTTGCCTTGAAAAAAGTCTGTCCTTGCAACAACATGGATGGCCCTAGAAGACATGTTAAAAGAAATAAGCCAGTCAACAAAAGACAAAAGTCATATGTCCTCTTATATGTAAGATCTAAATCAAACTCAGAAACAGAGAATAATGGTATTTATCAGGAACTGGGGAGAGGATAGATGAAGGCATTTTGATTAGGTTGCAGTTAGGAATATGTTAATTAGTTTGATTCAATCATTCCCTCACTGAACCTAATAATTACATACAATCACAATTTGTTGTAAAATAAAATACATTTTTAGCATATTATGAGAGAATTAATTCTTCAGAAAATGTAAATCTAAGTCAATGGTGACTAGAAACGTTTTTTTAAAAAAAAATCAAAATATTTTTAAATCTTGAAATGGTATTGAATCTTGGATAGGAATTAAATAAAATATCACTATAGCATCTCGGGGTCAGAATGACTATTCAGCATGTTGAAGTCTTTTATCCTGAACTGTGATGATAATAAACATTCTGGGGTTGGCAAAAAGGGAGGGAAAATCTCGGCACCCTCCTTTCTGGAAATTGACCACATAATATTACAAAATAAATAAATTTCCCTACAGTCAACATTTTAGTATACCAGTCTTGTCATCTAAAACATAGTAGCACTCTGGTTAGAGCCTGGGTCATGTGACTGTAAAGGCTGTGCTTTGCACAAGAATAGGGGAGGCAGGGAGACAAAAATTGTCTTATCAGCCTGCTGGTGCCCCATACCAGCCAAAAACATGGGATGGAGTAAGGGGGAAAAGCCCAAAAGGCCCAGAAAGAGACAAAAGGTGAAAGCTAAAGGGTTATTTCTATCAGGGAGTCAAAGACTATGGCTTCACAGGTGCTCCAACACCAATATGGAGTGGCCACGGAAGAATGGAAAAGCCAATCAATGCCTTCTAGTCTCCCCACAAGCCTTTGTGATATGGTGGAAATCACGATGTTCCACCTGTAGGTGGCCACCAAGGCCAGGCAGAATAACCCCACAGCAAAGGCTGTAGGTGGACAGGGTTAGGGGGAAGGGAGATGTGAATAACAGTGGGAAGATTTAAAGCTCCAGTGAAAGCAAAGGGGTCAGCAAGGGGCCAGATGCCTCATTCACCAGCCTTGACCACACAGCAGGACGCCCAGAGGCAAGCAAAACCCAGTAGATTGGAGGTTATGAGGAAGTTCAGATTAACTGTAAAAAGTAGAGGACAGTCTCGTCTTTCAGGGGGGTGTGGAGCACAATATGGGGTGGAGTGTAAGCTAAACATCCATGTTGTAGGTTATTTCCTGGAACTCAGGGGAGAACCACGGTTTTGTAGTACACAGACCTGGCTGCAGTTGAGAAATTCCCAAGACCTTTTTTGCAAAGTGAAGGGAAACTTCATTTTCCTTAAGACAAAATAGAAGCTCCTGCCTCCCTCAAACAGGAAGAAAATTCAGTGAGAGGACAAGCAAAGGATAGTGTCCAGGACCTAGTCCCACCCTCCCTTCAGAGCCGATCTGCAGTTTGCCAGGCAAATAAAGGAAGGAGAGTAAACTCTGGTCCATTATAGGATCCATAAAACACTTGGACAGAGAGTGTTTCACCCGAAACTGCAGTGTAGGACACGGGGCAAAAAATGCTCTAACCATAAAGGGTGGGAACATTACAGGCAGCATCCTCACTGGTCTTAGAAATGGCAAATTTGACTTGAACTGTTTTCCTTCCTTGTAAAATCTCTAGAATTTTAAGTGCTTGTCTGGAGACTTCTTTCTCAGGAAGGCTGACAAATTTTCAAAATCATCTTTGGAAATCATTCAAAGCGTCAAATTTGAGTAGCTTTTTGGTACCTAAACTGCATATGCTTAAAACTAGCAGGTGTTCCCGTTAAAATGCTTCTCATTTTCACCTCTCCCAGCTCAACATGAGATTCTGAATATTCTAAAAAGCCAGAGGTGTTTCTTCCTTTTTAAAAATAAGAAGTTGACAGCTATCTTTGAAATGTTAATAGCAGGTGAAAATCTGTGAACATCGATTGTCCCTGAGGAATGGGGTTGAGCATGGAATTTACACTTTATACTCGGTGTTACTTAAATTAACGTGGGCCTGGATTGCTTCAGTAATTTTCTGTGAGCCTTTAGAAAGCAGAATTCTGACAAATGAGTCCCTTTTTCCACTGAAATGTACAGTCCCAGAGAAACCTGCAAATCTGTGACTGGTATGTGTGAGTGTATGAGGACTAGAACCCCTGAAGATAACTGATTTCTCCTGCCCTTAGTGGACAGTGCCCTTAGCATTCTGTTCTGTAAGGAGGAAAAAAACCTGTGGTATGAACCCGAAGTCTATTTCCAATTCCATAGCTGAATGGCTGCCAAATACTAGGAAAGTTATCCAAATCCCAGTTTAGTTGGTCAGTAGGTTACAGACAAATCTCTTCACTTCCCTAAGAGTCCACTCCTAATTTCTATACTCCCCAAGAGATTAGAGTTCATGTTTAGGAGTTGGCCTTAAATTCTTAGCTGCCCCTCTGCCAGCTGGACTGTTCCCTTCCCCTCTAATGATGGTTTGCCCAAAACAATAAGGGACTCTTCCAGTAGTACCTGTTACAACAGGTGACAATATAAGTGGCAGCCCAAGGTATGCGGCTGCTCAGAGAACTCGGTGGCAGCACTCCCAAACAACCCCAGATAAAATATGAAATTAGTAAAATAGTAGTACTATCCTTAATGTGGATCATGGATATAGTCCTAATCTTAGGAAACACCATTAGGAAACTGGCAGTTTATTGCAATCTAAGTAAGAATAGAGTGTTGGCAGGCACATGCATCCTCAAGAGAAGTCCCACCTTCTGACTCTCTCTTCTTCCAACAGTGGCTGCCCCCAGTATCTCCTGGACACCAGCACTGGTTCTGTCCCTGGTAAATTCCCAGGTTCTTCCTGCTGGAATCCCCTGCCATGGCCACTGCACATTCAGCATAGCCATCAGAATTCAGATAACAGGCCACAAAGGGAATCAGGCTGGGTAACTAACAAGGATGAGGTCTAGTTCGGAAGCTTAACTGCCCCAACCAGTTTCTTTGTGGGGATTGACTTTAAAGCTTTGCAAACATATAAAAGCATACAGGATGGCTGCCAAAATTGCCCCTAGCCATTGACTTGCCCGTTGAGCTGTTAAGCATGTGGATTAAATTGCTTCTCTAACCTGCAGCAAATGAGGAGGAACAGGGAATAGAAGGGCCATAGATTAGGCTCCAACAGCAGGAAATCATCTGACTTGGCTGCCAGGAACCAGGGAGATCCTGGAGATTTGAACAGATGATGCCATCTTCCCACATGCCTTTCTAGTCTGGGAACCACCATCATTTCCTTAGTTAGAAGGACATGATTCTTAAGACAAAGGACAGATGGCCATCCCATTCCAAGCATAAACGCAAATATGCGTGTGCACTCATGCCAGCTATGTGTATGTCTTTACTTGCTGGCTTCCAGAAAGGAGCTCCTGCAGGCTGACCCATTTTCTCTCCAGCCACACAAAATTTATATTGCTTCTTCAGCCTGGGACAGCCTCTTCCCGCCCCACCCCGACCCATGCTCAACAGGAAACCCCCTCGGACACATTTCCAATAAAATTACTGTCATTCCTCAGGGATCCTGCTGTCCATTCACCATAGTCTCTGCATCTGGGGGAAAGAGCATGCTAAGAGGTAACAGTCACAGCTTATGTGACCACTGCTGTTCCAGGCGTCATGGATGATTCACAAGGAGGAGACTCAAGCTGGATCTGGAAGGACAGGCAGGAGCTAGTTCAGGAATAGGGGCTTAGAGTACAGCCCAGGCAGAGGCTTGGCAAGGTGCATAAGAGACACCCACTCACTGTATGTTATAGGCGCAGGGGCACCCAACTCTATCTTTTTAGGGGTCTGGGGGTACTGGGGATTGAACTCAGGGGAACTCAACCACTGAGCCACATCCCCAGCCCTGTTTTGAATTTTATTTAGAGACAGGGTCTCACTGACTTGTTTAGTGCCTTGCTGTTGCTGAGGCTGGCTTTGAATTCACGATCCTCCTGCCTCAGCCTCTGGAGCACTGGAATTATAGGTATATGCTACCACACTGGCAGCATCCAACTTGCCCCTTAATGCCAGGGTCTTGCATGTGCTCAGGCAACCATGCACCATTATTAAAGGGACATCCAGAGACCATTCCTGATGGAAAAGGAACTCAAAGCGTTCACACCATCAGTCTCTCCCCAGCTGAAAGACCCCTATACCTCCTCTTTTCATACCTTAGCCAATCCAACACCTCACCTCTAGCAGCCCACCATGACCTGACTCATCATGCTATCCCGCCCCCATCCCACTTCCCACTCAATCTAGCCCATCTCTACAAAACTGCCTCCTCCCCAACTCCTTCACTGTACAATATCCCTCACTAGCCTTTGTCATGGACAGCACTTAGGATCCAGTGTGGTAGTCATCTGTCTGCATGGCTGCCTCCACCAAAGAAGTCACCTGAGGCCAGACACAGTGTCTCTGTGTTCCTGAGGCCCAAAATGTGGCCCAGCTGGTGGTACATGTCCAGTGAATGGGTAACCAATGAGCCTCCTGCACCCATGGCCAACCTCCCCATGCCAATCCTGGTTGGATGCTTCCCTCCTCCATGCCTTTCAGGCTAGCCCTATACCTGAAGTACCCTATCATTTTATCACCATATGAAACAATTATCCCGCACCTGAATAATTTAACAATAGTGCAACTACTCCTTGGGTTTTTGTTTTTTGTTTTTTGGTTGGGGGTACTGGAAATGGAACTCAGAGGCATTCAACCACTGAGCCACATCCCCAGCCCTATTTTGTATTTTATTTAGAAACAGCGTCTCACTAATTGCTTAGAGCCTCACTAACTTGCTGCAGATGGCTTTGAACTCTCAATCTCTGTGCCCATTTTACAGCTGGATGCATACTCAGAGATATTCAACAACAAGTTCAAGGTCACATTGCTGATAAATGAAGGAGTAAGGATTCAAACCCAGGTTGTTTGGCCATCCCTGAGGCATTGCAAAGGGTTTTATGGTCCTTATCCCAGCTTCATCTGAGGAATGAGCAGGAAGACATGAATATGATTATTCCAGATACTAAAAGTTAATGTTTAACCCTAGGAAGTGGCTCTCCCCCTATAACAGGAGTTTCCTGCTCTGACCACTGAAACTAGATCAGGGAGCTCAGGGGCTAGGCATTTACAGTTGTCTGTGTTACAGGTCACTAAATGCTCCTGACTTCTCAAAAAACTGAAAGTTTCCTCTTGGGAGGAGCTGATTGTACTCTTCAGGACTTTCAGTGCTGCTGGTGCCCTGCCCATTGGAAAACGCCTCTCCCTGTCACTCTCTATAAATGCCGTAGTGGCCCTGAGGGAAGCCTTCTGCAGCACAGCTCCAGCTGAAGACTTGAGACTCCAGTCACCTCACCATGAGGCTTCTAATACTTTCCAGCCTGTTCTGTATCCTGCTTCTCTGTTTCTCCATCTTCTCCTCAGAAGGTAGGGCTGCCCCCCTGGGGTGCTAGTACCTGAGGTACTACCTGAATTCTAGTTTCTAGGAAGTTTCCAAACAGGAACTGTTGGAGTTCAGGCTTTGGCAGGCAATCCTGCACAAGACAGGCTCTTGCTCCTGAACCCATGCAGTGCCTCTATCCATAGTTAGCACCAAACAGGTGGCTTTGGGGCTTCAGGACCTACAATCTCTTTCAATAGCTCCAACTCCCCCAAAAAAGACAGCCTAGGTGAACCATCGCGCTTACAAGCAAACCCAAGACCTCCCAGCTAGACTGCTGCACGTGAGTCCAACCTGTCTAGAAAATCTGGAGCCACTCTGTTGGATCTGTAGCATGGCTGGGACAGAGCAAATTAGTGCTGAATGAATAATTAATTAGTTGACTATCTGAATTTGAACATCCCAAACATCTTGCACAGGCAGATGGGATGAGGGTATGTATGAAATGGGGATAGATATGGGGCACATTTATACATGTTCAGAAGTGGGGAGCATGGTCTTTCCACCCTTGTGGATGTGAATATTTAGCTCCCCTGCCTTTCTTCATTTAGATAGCTGAATATTTGGGGCTTTTTCTCTTACCTGATACTCTAGAAACTACCAAGTTTTTTTTTTTTGTCTCAATGGTTTTGGTTATTTCAACATTTATTAGAGCCAGGGATGTAGAAATATGTAAAGGGGAGAAAAACACCCATGATTTCTTGATTCAAGAATAACCATGTTCTGGCCACGAATGGTGGTGCACACATGTAATCCCTGCAGCTTGGGAGGCTGAGGCAGGAGGATTGAGAATTCAAAGCTAGCCCCAGCAACTTAGTGAAGCGCTAAGCAATTCAGTGAGAGCCTGTCTCTAAATAAAATACAAAATAGGGGGCTGGGGATGTGGCTCAGTGGTCGAGTGCCCCTGAATTCAATCCCCTGTATCAAAAAAAAAAAAGTATAACCATTTCAATATTCTGTTTATTTCTTTTCAGTCTTATGTGCATCTTTTTTTAAATTGCTAATATCTCTATATGGTCAATATTTGGTCTTTTTGTATTATAAAAACTTGTTTACTAAGACTTTAAACAATCTGTATGTGATGTTACTTCACTGGGAAAAAGCTTAAACCTTTAAAATACAAAACTAAGAAATGTATGAATGAGCAAACATGAAAAATGTTGCTGAACTGCAGTGGATAAATAACAGAAAACACAGCTGATGGCATTTGTTATAAATGATGGCCTTCAAGCCTTCAACTTAAAATCATATTTCTGACATAAGCAGAAATATATTTTTGGATATCTTAGAGGTCACCAATGCTACTCTAATGGCAACTCAATAAGGATGAATATATTTCTCCATAAAGCTTCCTATTATTCCATTTAGGACTATCTATGGCAGATCCCAAAATTGACATTATTTTCAATATATAATATAATATATAATATAATAGTCTCATGTATAATTTGCCATCAAGTGAGTGAGATAGCACAAATTTATGTGCTCAGACATTTAGATGGTTCAAAATGTTGCACTGTAGTAAGTATATGTAAAAGAAAAAAAAAACGTGTACATAAAATATTCCCTATACTTAGAATTCTTAGGCTAGATTGCCAGGGGAGACTGTGTGGAAGGGCATGGACATTTCTGGGCCACAGAATGGTTCTTCGGACAGGAAAATGAGGAGGACGTATTCTGAGGGCATAGCCATCTTCCAACATTGACTTTATTATTTCTGAAAACTAAAATACAGCAAAGTTCACCCTTTCCCTCACATAGCCTGGCTCATCCTGAGTTTCCTGAACCTGGGTCTCCCTGCCCAGAACCACCCCAGGGTACCCCCAAGTGCACTAAAGGAGTGTCTGGGCTTTTTTGTATCCATCCTCAGGGAAAAGGCATCCTGCCAAGTCCTGGAAACTCTGCTGCCACAGAGTTCCTGCTCTCAACCTGACAACCCAGAAAGGTAAGTGCTCATACCTGCTCATACCTGGGGTTAGGGAATAGCTCCAGGGGGTCACGGAACAGGCCAGACACGTTGATCAGCCCCCACCTGAGCCTGGTGTGAGGCCCTGGTACAGAGGGGGCCACCCACAGGTATGATCTTTGCCTCCTAGAGCTTAGAGGGAACAAATTAACCATTTCAAACTGAACACATTCTATCAAGGAAAAGCAAGACGCAATTAAGAAATGGCATGGGGTGTACCTGTCCCTTGGATGGGAGGTGTCAGAGGAAGTGAGATTTAAGAGACCCCATGAAGGGCCAGGAACCCTGCCTCAGACCATGGAGGTTGATGGTCCAGAAAGAGGCAGCAGTGGCATTGAAAGCCTGGAGTGAGCTAGAAGAAGACATAGAACACAAAAAGGAGCTGGGGGGCCAAAGGTGCTTATGGAATCTACAAACCAAGAGTGCCCGACTGCAGCAATGTGGACCTGACGCACAGGCCAGCAGTGCAAGCCACCTGCGGGTGGATGGGGCATGCAGGTGCCAGGAGCTTCAGCCTGGAGGGGCACATTGCAGCCCCCAAAGATGCAGGCTGCCAATATCCAGGCTCCATTCCTAGGCACCCAGATGGAGGCACCCAAATGGGCTCCGTGCTCAGGGTGAGGCCTGGAAGAGCAGATCTACCCCCATTCTAGGGCCCGTGCTTTGACTCAATACCCTCCCCATAGATTCCAAGGAGGCCCCGGCCCTTCTTGCCTCTCTAAGGCTATAGCCCCCAAAGCCCATGACTAACACTAGAGCCTCATGCCTGTCTTAGCAACCAAGAGTCCCACCCACCCCAAAGGGAAGCTCAGATGTGGATAGGGGTGAGGGGTGGGGAGTGAGACATGACAGCTCCAACCTCAAGCTACTTCTCTCCAGACGCTGAAAACCTCTTCTTTCCAGCTGGCATCACACCCAGCTGGGGCTGGGTAAAAATAATCAGTTCTCACACGCACACCTCGCACATTGCAAAACCGCAAAGAGAATGTGAGGCATCTGCCCAGGCAAGGTGAAGGGTGAGCACAGGCTCACTGTAACTCTGCTCCCCCAGGCCTGCTGGGGAGGAACACTTCTATGAGTTGCAAACCTAGGCCCCTCTCACCCCTCCCCAGCATGGGATGCTCAGAAGCTGTCAAGAATAGACCATTGAGGGGTGGTGTTGTGCCCACTCACACACACACACTTACACACTACACATACAGAGGCACGCAGACACATACACAAAAACACAGACATACATACTACACACACATATATGCACACTACATACACATGTACATGTGCCACACATTACACACCCAGATACACACAAACTCATACACACACACACACACACACATATATACAAGTACACACAGTTCATAGGAAACATGGCCAGGTTCACCCTTTGTGCACAGTACAAAAGTAGTCCCTTTGTTAGTCATATAACACTTTGGAAAAATAACCTAGGGCTGTGACTTCTAAGTTGAGACTGAATTTCTTCAGGTGTATATATATATTTTTTTTAATTTCCACTATAGAAACATATAAACAACTTTTAAACATATTTCCAGGTTCTTGCCATGTGATCGCATTTAAATCCTTGCTACCACCCTAGGGAGGTCTTGTCACCATTGTATAGATTGGAAAACTGTGAGGCCCAGTAGGAAACTGGGCAGAGCCGAAAGCCAGGCTCTGTGCACCTCTTTCCACTACAATTACCTGTCTTTTCCTGGGAGGGAAAGTCTCCTGTAGCATGGGTTGGATGACACGGCACGCCAAGCTGGACCGCAGACTTCTTAGATGAAAAGTGCCATTCCGGTTGGCATCTCAGCTCCCCACCCACTAGATCCATGTCCTTGAGCAGGTCCCCAGCCTTGCTAAGCCTCAGTCATCTGCCCTGTGAAAAGGTATGATAAGTGAATCTGCATGGGGCTGCAGTGAGGAGTCAGTGGGGCACTTGGCATCAAGCCTGACTCCCCCCCCAACCCCCACTCTTACCATGGAGTTAGGCTGGACCCTGCCTGCTTCCACTGGGGCAGGAGAGCGATGATTCCCATGCCAAACACCAAAGCTCACGCATTCTTGCCCAGGCTTGAGGGTTCCACCCATTATCTTCCAGGACCAACACTTGGATTGAGAGAAAAGGAGGGAGAAAAATGAATCAGGGTGTTGTGTAACTGAGAGCAGGATTTTGGGGTGTGTCAGGTTCCTGGAATCTAGCCTCATGGAATCCAGCACATGGACATATGAAAGCACCTGTGCCTCCATCTGCAGTCAAGAAATTAATACAGGGCTGCCAGCACCAGCTGTGACCCACACCTGGATGGCAGCTGCTCCTCATTCTAAAGCCTTCTCTGGGCACTGCTTTATATCTAAGTGCTGCGTGAAACTCACAGGAGTGTCGAGATATGGAAGGCCCACGACTCTGGGTTAAGGCAAAAACCATCTCCAAAAATTAATGTGAAAAAATGGTGGATTTGATGAATTGACTCCATTTACCAATTTCCTGATAAAAAGTCTTTCTTAAAGATTTACAAAATTAGAGCAATCTATATAGCAGCATTGTCATAATATTTTTTAAAACGAAACATTCAATATACTAACTCTGTTGGCTTGAAGGGGCATCAGGCACTGGCCCTGAGATGCAAAGCTGTTCTGGTTTAAACTAGGGTCAACTGATGGCTGCTTAGGACCTGGGGAGCCCTGTGGCAAGACTTGAGAGATTGCCCAGATACTGGGAGTCCCATGCCCCTCTCTGCTTCAAAGTTCAGCAAAATGATTCAACCCACAGTAGAAGACTCATGGTGGATGAGAGATTCCTCTCCTACCATGCAGTTGTCTCTGTCTTTAGGAAGGACCTCAGACAGGAGGGACAAAGATTGCCCACTGAGAAACACATGTGGTGGCTTCAGGGTTTCAGCAACAGTACCAGAATAGACATGAGGACCCAGAAGTAGAGACCCTGGAGGAGGTGGACAGAGCCCTCAGCCCTGGGGACCCACCAGAGGGACTGCAAATCTGTGGTCTTGCTTCCTGTAATGATGTCCATTAACTGTAACTGCCTTAAAAACACCCCCAACTTGAGTGACCCAAAGCAGTAAGTTGTTGTTATTTTCCATGCCACTGCAGGTCAGCTAAGCATTCCTTCTAGTCTCGGCTGGTCTTGTTCATTCTTCTAAGGTTTAGAGAGGCAGCTTTGTGGATCTTGGCTGGACTCCTTCATGTGTTTGTGGGTTGAATAGCTGTTAGTTCAGGAGAGTCTTGTTGTAACAACTGGATTTGCTTCCACGTGGTCTTTCTTCATTCAAACTAGCCCAGAATGTTCACAAGAAGGCTGCAGGGATCCACCATTTGGGAATGGGAACGTGGAGGCTTCCTCAAGGGGAGGCTCAGAAAACACCCACCTTCATGTCCACCCCGTGCTATTGGCCAAAACAAGTCACAAGACCAGCCCAGATCTTAGGAACAGAGAAATAGATCCTAGACCTTGATGGGAGAAGTTGCAAGAGAAGGGCGGAGAATGACCACCTATTCCCAATCAATCAACTGTGAAGTTTATTGTAGGACCCAACAATGACACTTGGGATCTACAGGTGGGGACAGAGCACAGAGGGGGTGGGCAGTGGTCAGGACATCATGGGCCATCAGAAATGCTGGTGGAAATACTCATGACATGGTGTCAATGGAAAAGAATAAGTTATGTATGTTCATGATTATCACCACAGAAAGGTGAAAGTAATTTCAAGTAGGAAGTAAAAAAATGGAAAGAAAATCACACCAACGTTAGCACTTACTTATGATTAATACATGAGGTTGTGGATGAATTATGAAAATTAAACTTATTTTTTACGTAGCAAGTGCTTATATAGCAGTTACTAGTTGTCATATTTACATCTGCTAACACATCTAATCCTCACAATAATCCTAAAAGTCAGATGCTTTTACTATCCTTATTTTCACCGATGAGGGATCAAAACCCAGATAAGTTATGTAACTTACTAAAGGTTACACATCTAGTAAGTAAATGGTACAGCTGGGCTTTGAGTCCAAATAATTTAGCTCCAGATTCTGTTATTAACTTTCATACAACAGTGCATGTAGTAGTAATCTGGAATCAAGAGAGAAAGAAGAATCTCATTACCATAACTTAAGAACATTTCTCATTCATGTTTTCTTTGTTATTATTATGCAAAAAAGATTTGCCTGGCTTTGTTTTTATTGTACTTCACTTTAAAAATCTTTAATATTAACCATAATAAGCATTTTTCTTTATGTTGCTACACATTTTTTATAACCTTGGGGTTTCTATCATCATGAGGTATCATCACTAATTATCCATAAAGATCACAGGATACACTATTAGCAGCATTTTTTTCTGCTATTAAAAATAATATGAAGAATAGTTTAATGCAAGCAGTATTTCCTTTCTTGTGGATTGTCCTCCTGTAAATGGGACTGGTTTGCCAATGATGCAAATGCAGCTCTGGAACACATGTGGCCTGGCACTTGCTGCCTAGGAGGAGACAGTCTGGGGGTCCAAGGGCTGCACGTCCATGTGGCAAGCCCTCGGGCCACAGCCTTCACAAACAGGCCTCCTGGACCCAGGCCAACTCAAGTGTGCTCTGCCTGGTATAAGTCACCTTCTCTCCACCTTCTGCCAGTAAATCAGAGTTCCCCAGACTCCCCCAACATGACCGAAACCATCTGGGGTAGTCATGTTTGCCATGAAGGGCCCTTTCTGGGCCTCCCGTGAGGAGGGGAAGGTCTGATTTTTTTTTTAAAAAAAGTTTGTGCTTGAGAATAAGTCTTAATTATGTTTCTCTCTCTCTTTCTCTCCCCGCCCCACCTTTGCTCCCCACTCTCTGCCTTCCTGTCCTCATGCCTCTACCCATTGCTCCTCCCCAGGAAACCGCATGAGGCTCTGCAGAGTGTGCAAGCTCAAGCCAATGTCACAGTCTTGGGTGGTGCCTGGGGCTCTCCCGCAGGTGTAGTGCTCCCAGAGCCAGGCTCCATACAGCTGAGATTCTTGTTCTCAGCACCAGAAACACCAGAACCCTTGGTTTGCCCCTCTTAGCAAGTGAGCTGTGATGTTGGAGAATGTCATCTAAGGCATCAAGGGCCCTGGGGAAGGTTCTGGAACTCCAGGTCCTGGTCCCAATCCTGCCACAGTCTGCAGAGCTGTTGTGAGCCAGGCGCAACCCCCAAGACTTCAACCCCAGGAGGTCCCTTTAGTGCAGAGAGTTGAGGATTTCACCATGACCTGTGGCACCTAGGGTTCCAGAAGCTTCTAAGTCTACGAGAATTCAGCATAGTAAGACTGAAGGGTGGTCAATGAGGACTGCAGAGTCTCAGTCATCCTCAGATATACTCCAATCCTGGCATTTAGTCACCAGCATCCAGTGACCCCTGAAGGAACCACTCGCTAACTTTCAGACATGAGTCTACTGGAAAGAAGACCCAAACTGATAACAAATAAACAAACAGCTAAAATCCATGACGCATCTTTTTTTGAGAAAATTGGTGATAGGGCCTGAGCCACAGCATTCCACTAAAATAAAACCATCCTAAAGAACATGCAGACCACTTCTCTATCACAGCACAACTTAGGTTGTGGGCAATAGGGACAGTAACCAGGTTCAACACCCCAAGATGCAAAGCCCAGCCCTGCCCAGGATTTTTCATGCAACTTGAGCATTACAGTCTCTTTTTTTGTATAAATGGAGATCACAGGACCTTCTCAGAGGGCAAGCACACAGGAGTAATGTCGCTGCCTTCCTTGCTACAGTGATCACAAGGCTCAGAGCCGTGGCTCACAGGGGACAGATGGCTCAGGTTTAAGAGGCTTATTTCTCAGTAAAGCTCCCTTCTAATCAGATTCTCCCAGCAAGGTGAGAAGCCCCATCCCCGCATCACCCACAGGCATGGAGGACACGACCAGCCCACCTGATGTGAGGGTGACGGGCACAGGTCCCAGGTGCAGAATGTGGGGATAGCAGTCCCCGGGCACATTACAAGTCTTTATCTTGTCAAGGCAGGATTTTCCCATCCCTTTCATAGATGCTCCTGGGCTCACTCACTCACACCTTCAGCACCCTATTTCTGGGGTTGGCAGTGACTCGGTGCTGGGTTCTCAAGCTCAGAGATAAACAGGGTCCTTTAACATTGGATAGGCAATCACCACTCCACAAAACTGTGAGCACCAGTGGAAAAATTGCAGGCCAGGTGCAAGAGGGGAGCGAAAAGATGGGCAGCTGACACATGAATTGAGTTAGTGGGATGGAGAATCCAGCTAAAAGAAGGAGCATGCATGTATGAGGTTTGTGTTGGGGGATGAGGAAGATGTGACGTGTGTTTACTGGGAGGGTATGTGTGCATGTGATACGGTGCATGCGCTATGTGTGGTGTGTTGTGTGATGTATGTGTAGTGTGTGGTGTAGGTGTGTGGTCTACATGGTTGCTGTGTGATGTATGTGGTGGGTATATAGTGTGTAGTGTGGTGTTTGTGTGGAGTGAAGAGTGTGTGTGTGTGTGTGTGCGTGTGTGTAATTGTGGCCTATGGGTTGGGTTGGGTAGGAGCACACCAAGGGCTGGGCAGAAAGACTTGAGTTTTGGAGCAGAATTCAGTAACTGGACAACAATAGGGGGCAGAAGGGGAAGCGGAGGATCCGGCCTGGGGCACATAGAATGACAGGCCATCAGGTACCTGGGGTTTTCTCTCTAGAACAACAAAGAACTAGAAAAGTGTGTGAGCAGGAGAGACCACAGGTAAAGGAGATTGAATGAACTGGGGAGGATAAGGCACCGGGGGAAGGCGGGGATGTCTCTGAACATGGTGGGGTGGCCTTGGTGATGCATTAGCTGGGTGGCTGTGGGGAAAAGTCAGACCCTCACCAGGCACTCCCTCCTTGGTAAGGCAGCTGCCTCACCTACCAGCAGTGGGAGCTGGTGGTCCCTGTGTCCTTGTCCTTCCTTCTTCTCTTCTCTCCATGCCCACCCCTCCCTCCAGAAAAGAGGTAAAGAAAACACACACACACACACACAAACACAGACACACACACACACATGACTTAATGCATGTGCTTGAGTCAACTAGGAGAAATGACTCAAAATCATGTGCCCCATCACAAAAGTGAGCCTCTCCCAGAAACAGGCAGAGTGAGGAAACACCAGTCCTGGAGCATCAGCCTCTTTGGTAATTTTGTGTGTGGGTATTTGTTAATGCACACAAGTAAAAAGAAGACACAGCCTGGCTCTTGGGGGAAGAGGACACTTTCTCTTGAGGACAAGAACTGCCATGCCATGGCTCAGGGAAGCTCACAGAGAAAGGGTGCAAGAAAGAGGCCAGCCTCCCAGCTTCAGCTGACTTTCAGAGCAGCCCACACTTGGCAAGGCTGTGGGGAAAAGGGAACTCTCATACATTGTTGGAAGGACTGAAAATTGGCAAATTGGTGCAACCCCTCTGGAAAGCAGTATAGAGATTCCTCAGAAAATTAGGAATGAAACCACCATTTGACCCAGTTATCCCACTCCTCAGCATATATCCAAATGATTTACAATCAACATACTACAGTGACACAGTCACATCAATGTTTATAGCTGCTCAGTTCCCAATAGCCAAGTTATGGGACCAACCTAGGTGCCCTTCAACAGATGAACAGATAAAGAAATGTTGGTTTATATACACAATGGAATATTACTCAGCCATAAAGAAGAATGACTTTATGACATTTGCCAGTGAATGAATGAATCTGGACACATAGTGTCCATCACTTCATGCTAAGTGAAATAAGCCAGTCCCCAAAAACCAGAGGTCAAATATTTTTGCTGATATGTGGAAACTAAACTACAATAAAGTAGGGAAGGTGAAGAAAGAATGTTTAGTATATTAGACAAAAAGGGGAATAAAAGAAAGGGAGGGGGATAGGAATAGGAAAGACAGTAGAATAAATTTAACATAATTTTCCTAGATACACGTGTGAAAACTCTTAAATGAATCCCACCATTGTGCCCACCCACAAGAATGGGGTCCTAACTAGAATAAGAATCATTCCATGCTTATATAATTCTATCAAAATGGATTCTGCTGTCATGTATAACTAAGAAAAACCAATAAATAAATAAAAGCAGTAACTTGAAAGGGAGCCGAGGACCCTATACTTGCCCCACCTCTCCCTGTCCCCTCTGTCCTTTGCCCGAACAGTAGAAAAACTTAGTTCTCAAAAGATATATTGAGTATCCAGGGAAGTCTTGTGCATAAGACTATTCAAACACGGGGAGGAATCCTAAACATCTGTAAATGACTTTAAACCAATAAAGCTGGAGTTCTTATGATGCCCCGATGGACTCCTCGAGGAATCTAGACATGTTCACAGGATACAGTAGGGTAAAAGTACACAGTCTCCATGGCAACAGAGTGAGTCCATGGTCCTTGAAGTGGGAAAGGGGCACCTGGGGTAGTTGATTGGTTTCCAAGATAGATTTCAGGTTCCAACGGTGTCTCTTTAAGCATCCACTGTGTGACATTGGGGGAGGTCAGGAAGCTTCTCAGAACCTCAGGTTTCCCACCTGTAAAGTGAGGCTAAAACTGCTCATCACAACTCCCAGTTCATTCAGGGCAAATGATCAGGTAAGCCGCCTCCCAGAGCCCTGCAGAGACCACGCTCCAGCTGGCTAGCATTCATTCACACAGTGACTCCACTTACTGGGAACACCTAGGATATGGGTAGGTCCAGTGGTCTAGTTTGGTCTCCCTAGCAGTGGCGAAAACTTGCCAGTTTATTAGCAGCCTGGAAGTATGAAGACAGCTTCGAAGCAGCTAGCAGATACACCATCAACAGCTCCAACCCTGGAAGTGGACTTTGGTGCACAACTGCCGTGTAAATTCAATTAAGCTGCACAAACCCTCAGATTAGCAAAGTGTTAACCAGAAAGATAGGAGGCATCAAGCTGTGAGATGTCCACACTGGGGAGTTCCTTTCCACATCAAAACACAACCTTTTTTGCTTATTGCTTGTTCAGCTCAAAATTCAAATATTCCATGGATGTGAACAGTCATATGTGTGAGCCATAGTTTCTACCACTCCCTATTGTCTTTCACCCTGCCAGTTTCAAACATTTCCATTTCCTGCCTGGCTCAGAAGCATTACAACATATTCTGGCTATTCTACTCTGTCAATTTATGGAAGGATGGGAGAGCATGTCAAAGGCATGCAGAGGGCCAGTGGTTAACTAGAACCAGGAACTAAAACTCCTGACATTCTTAGAAGACTCTTCGTTCACTTATTTCCTCATTCATTAAAGAAGTGAATGATTACTCCTTAAGGAGTATGGCTTTGATAAATGTTGTCCAAAGATCCATGTGTTAAAGGTGTGGTCCCCAGCCTGTGGCACTATTGGGAGGTGGTAGAGCCTTTAAGAGGTGTGGCCTAGTCTTTAGGTTATTGGAGGCATGACCTCAGAGGGGGACCCCAGTCCGTTCTTTCTTCTTCTCTCTTTCACTTCCTATGCAGGAGTGAGCCGTTTTGTTCCACTACCAGCTTCTGTCATGATGTGCCTCCATAGACCCAGAGCAACAGGGCCAATGGATCATGGGCTAAAAGCTCTAAAACTGGGAGCCAAAACAAACCTTTACTGTTTATAAGTTGATTGTCTCAGATATTAGTTGCAGTAGTAGAAGGCTGACTCACACAAGAAGAACCCACTGTGTCCCAGGCCCTTTGCCGAGAGTAAAGCAACCTATGAATTAAATACAGCCTTTCTCTGAATGGTTCACAGCCCCCTGGAGGAGAAAACCAAGCAGACAATTTCAATTCATTGTCCCAAGTGGTGACCAGTTCTGCTTGGGGATGGGGGCATACTGGGGGAACAAAAACCCTCTGGAGAAACACATCTTCTTTGATGTGTTCCCTACCAGACTCAGCCATGCAGCAGACTTAGCTAACTAAGAAGACATCTACAGGGTAGAATTAGGCAAAGTCTGCCTACCTGTGTG